GCACACATCTGAATATTTGGGTTGAACTGTTCTGGAACAGTGTTGTAAATACAAATACAGCGGCAACAACAATACTACAGCGAGAATAAAAGGTACGCCTTCTTTCTTTGCGTGAACATTTGGGTGGCGTTATGCAAATCTTCCCACATAGTGACGTAGACATGTGGGGGCGTGTTAGAACGAGCCGTTTTAGGTAGGCGTGGTTGACTCTTAACTTTTATAAAGAATATCTCTTTGGACTTGAGACTTTAGTCTTTGCAACTTTACAGATCTTATTTATGCACCAAGAGCTTGTAACACTCCAAAGAGAAAGGAAAAATTGAAATCGCATCATATGACCCCTTTAAAATTTAGCATAAAGGTGCACCATAAAATCAGTTCTGACAACCTCACTTTTTGCAACCTATGTGTCCAAAAACATAACAAACAATGTGCTTGTTCATATTGGGTCTTTTTGATGTCCTCAAATGACCTGCAGATTTAGAGCAAAGTTTAGTGGAGGAGGTGCATTTAGAGGAGGTCAAATATTTTGTGGAAGACCTGCCAGGCCTTGTTGGCAGCTGTGATAGATTAATTTTACCAAAGCAAAATGCTTTACTAAATTTGTTCTTTGTAGTTGAAGCTGTTCTTTTCTTTTCTTAAAAGAGTTTTAGGGGGCCTTTTTAAAAAAAAAATTATAAATATAAAAAGCATATTTATAGTCATTTTTGTTAGCCGTGCATTGCAATGTTCGACAATATTATTCAGCAGTAGAAGGGATTGGTGGGAAGCACCGTGTGAAATCAGTTATGATTTATGCAAATGCAAAAGGAGTGTCACTTACTGAGCAGCGACCAAGCTCACTATATGAGTAGATGATCAGCAACCTGAGTAGGATCTTTCAAAATACAGAAAAATCTAGATGATGATGAAATGGTTTAACGTAATTTGAAAACTATACATGTCAAAGTCACAAATGTTTTGTCCTGAATGGGGAAGGTAAACATCTACTGTAACATTATGAAATGTTGTCAGACCAAAAGCATGAAGATTAAATAACTCAACCAACATTTTACAGCCTTAATCAAATCATGCCCTCCTCCATATGTTTAAATTGCACTTATGAAATGTCCTCTGTTACCTCAGCAACAAGTAGCCTCAGGAAAGAAGGGTGGAAGTGCCTGTCTAGGGTGTTATGTGTAGATATGTGCAATTTCTTTGTGTATGTATGTGCAATGTTTATGATTTATGTATCTGCAGATGTCCTGGGATGGAGACATGGATGACCAAATGACCCCAGAGGCCTGGGCTACCATGCAGAAGCTTTCCGGCTCAGTAAGACTTCAATTCTTATTCTATATCCATTTTCCAGGTGTAATTCTGATATAAAAAAAACCCCACTCATATTTGACCTAAAGACCCATTACTAAATTATACATGAAATACATTTGGATTTCTTTCACACTCAATTATTTTACAGAGGAAGCATTGTTCTCAGTGTATGCACTTTGCCACTAGAGGGAGCAAACTACATAGACTAAGATGATTGGCAGGCCACCCTGAGTTCTTAAAAAATGCAATAAAGGAAAGGGAGAGCGCTGTTGCTAGGGTGGCTGTTGCTAAGGTTACTGATTCATAGTAACAGTCATCAACCACCCTGCTGTTCAGTAAGGTGTTTTTCCGTCTTCTTGACACATAAGAGAGTGGGACTACAGAGATTATATAATATAAAGATGTTAATCGAAAAAGTACATTTTATTACAATTTGTCATTTATTTATAAGCTGTTTTCTGGTTATTCTTTATTTTTCCTTTCCCTTTTTTAATATATTTGCCTTCTGCGTAAACATTTCAATGCTGTTTGACTCTTATTGCTTGTATTTTGCCATCTTTCATTGTTCTGCACCTCTTGCTCGCAGACGGAGGAGAAATCTTCAGAGCTGAAGTCAGGTTTTATAACTTCTTTTCTGGATTTCTTGAAAACGGGGAAGAAGCAGCTGGGCACTGAAGCTCCAGCTATGGATGTGTGCACTTCCACAGATTCCTCTTCAGTAAAGGGAGGCATCCGCCCATTATCCCCACAACCACCTCCTCCTCCACCTCCCCCCTTTGGAGAGAACGAGAGTGATGGAAGCCTGGGTCTCAGTAACTGTCCCTCCCCCTGTAAAAGACTTGACGAGGACCTCAAGAGGAACCTGGAGACCCTGCCATCGTTCTCCTCAGACGAGGAAGACTCGGTCAGTAAGAACCAGGACCTGCAGAAGAGCATCTCATCCGCCATTTCTGCTCTCTATGACACGGCCCACAGTCTCGCTGCCATTCCACTTCCTCCTACGCCATCGCCGCCCACTCCACAGACGGTGTCTCTTAACACACCCCCTCCACCCCCACAACCTGAATCTGTCCTGCTCACTGAACCCGAGACGGAGATAAACACGTCACAGGAGCTGGATTCGCTCTCACGGCCCAACCTCAAGGAGGAGGCACATGTTCCAGGCAAGGGTGAGGAACGGGAAGAACCTGTGCAGGAAGTACATGAAGACATACAGCAGAAAGAAGACAGACAGACTGAATGTGAGGAGGAAGGAGAGGAGTTGGAAGAAGACATAAGTGAGGAGGAGGAAGCTGATCAGATAAGGACAGAGGAGAGCAAGCCGGAAGAAGAAGAGGAAGTAGAAGAGCCAGAGTATGAAATGCTGGGTGCTCCCAAGGTTGATGGTGAGTATATTAACATATCTACAGTGAGATATTACAATCAGTGAAATATTAATTATTTCCTTCTTTCCTTAACCGTATCCCGTTTTAGGATCTCCATCCGAGCTTCCCCCTGCACCCCCTTCTCCTCCATCTCTTTCTCCTTCTCCCCCAGCCTCCTCCTCCCCATCCCCTCTGCCTCCTCCTCCTCTGTCTCTCCCCTCCCCTCTCCCATCTCAAGAAGAGGAGCAGCAGCAACAGCCACCACTGCATAATTCCCTGCCTCCCAGCCCTTCTCCACCTGCTCTCCCCTCTCCCTCCCTGCCTCCGCCCACGTTGCCCCCCTCTGCTACACCCCCACCGTCCCCCTCCCCGCCTCCTCCCGAAGAGCTGCCCCCGCCCTCCCCGGCCTCACCCCCCCCCCCCGCTGCAGCCCCGCGCACTGAAGATATTGGTACTCTTAAGGTAAAAATCCCCATTTTTATTTTTATTTTTTTTAAGTAGTATTCTATGAGTAGAATTAATATGTAGATTTTTGCAGGGATAGTTCACCCAAAAATGATAATTCTGTCATTGCTCACCTTCATGTCATTTTAGTCCTATATGACTCAATTTCTTCTGTGGAACATACAAGAAGATAATTTGAAGAATGCTGGTAACCAAACAGTTTCGATTCCCTTTGATTTCTATATTATAGTCCAAAATTCTAATGGAAGTCAATGGGAACCAAAACTCTTTGGTTACCAACATTCTTTAAATTGTCTTATTTTGCATTACGCATAAAAAAGAATGTCATACATGGAACCACATGAAGGTGAGTAATGGATGACAGAATTATAATTTTTGGATGCACTACCCTTTTAATAATTGAAGTCGCAATTAAACGGAAATAGCGACAGATCTTTTCTTCCGTAGTGCAACGTACATACAAGTGAAAGATTGACAGAAAAGAAAAAAATTATGGCGGGGACTTGATTCTGTCTATGTCAGGGGTCTACAACCCTGCTTCTGGAGAGCTACTGTCCAGCAGAGTTCAGCTCCAACCTCAATCAAATACACCTGAACCTGCTAATCAAAGTGTTCAGAGTTACTTGAAAATTATAGACAGGCGTGTTGAAACATGGTTGGAGCTGAGGTCTGCAGAACGGTAGCTCTCCAGGAGCAGGGTTGGAGATCAATGGTTTGTCGCTTGTTTGAATTTTGAGATGTAGGTGTTACAGTGAAAAATTCACGCTTAGATTTGATTGTGGAAGGGCAGGGTTTCAGCAGAATAAATGATTGGAAAAATCTGGTATACATCACCAGTCTGTTGTTTCTGTGGAAGGTCCAGTTGTGTCAAAAAATGAAGCATGTGCATGGATGAATCGTTCGCAATAAGATCTACAACATGCATTTACAAAATAGATGAATAATGAATTTTTATTTAATGCCAATTTAACTAGATGCTCAATTCACATGGCTTTTCTCAGCTGGCGCTGCAGACCGGACGAGAGCCTCCTCCAATCTGGAGGGTCCAGAAAGCTCTGCTGCAGAAGTTTGCTCCTGAAATCAAAGATGGACAGCGGCAGTTTTGTGCTACCAGTAACGTGAGTGTGTTTTTGTATTTGGTAAGAATTAATATCATGCATTGGATGGCTGAAATTGTAACACTACACCACCTCCTTAAATTCATGCTATCTGTCCTCTGTCACTCTTTGGCAGTATTTGGGCTACTTTGGAGATGCAAAGATGCGTTATCAGCGTTTATATGTCAAATTCTTGGAGAATGTGAATAAAAAGGATTATGTCCGAGTGTGCTCGCGGAAACCCTGGCATCGGCCCAGTCTCACACTGAGGTAATTTCACCCTAAATGCACTTCTGGAGCTACTGTGGTCCTCAGGTCCTGTGCTATATTGCCGTTAATACAGTAGTTACTGTCAATCAAAGAGTTCTGTGATCATTTACTCACCCTCATGCTTTTAAAACCTAAATGCTGTTGCTTTTTCAGTGGAGCGCAGAATTTTTGAAGAATCTTCAAACAGCTTGTTTCATAAAACGGTTCACAGTGGCCTATGTGTGTCAAAAATTAAAACAAGAAAACAAAACACTAAAAAAGCACCAGAAATGTAGTCCATCTGACTCATAGGCGATATTCAAAGTCACCTGCATTCATACAATAGGTCTGTGTGAGAAAGCAGCACAATTTAAGTATTTATTCATTAATAATCTTTCAACTGCTGCAGCTCTGTAATAAAATACTGACGTTGTGATAATTGATCTTGAGATATGCGAAAGCTAAGGACATTTGATGTCCAACCTGTGGCTTAGACTTAAAGCATACAGTGGGGAAAATAATTATTTGATCCCCTGCTGATTTTGTACGTCTGGTGCTCCATGCAAGATCTCACCTTATGAGGAAAGGATGGTCATGATAAAGGTGAGGTATCAGCCCCGAACTACACCGAAGGAGCTTGTTAATGATCTTAAGGCAGTTGGGACAACAGTCGCCAAGCAAACCATTGGTAACAAACTACGTTGCAATGAGTTGAAATCATGCCGTGCCTGCAAGGTCCCCCTGCTCAAGAAGGCACATGTACAGGCCCGGCTGAACATCTAAATGATTCAGAGAAGGCTTGGGAGAAAGTGCTGTTGTCACATCAAAATCAGTAGGGGATCAAATAATTATTTTCCCCACTGTAAAATAATTTGTTTTCCACAGAAAAAAACAGTGTACAGGTTTAAAATTTTTCGAGGCTGAGTAAATAATGAGGAATTTTAATTTCAGGGGAACTGTCAATTTTATCAGTATATTGTCGTTGCTAAGATGAATGTCTTTACTTTCTACCAGACACCAGTCACTTCCTAAGCCACAACCTGTACGTAGCTTGACTCCACCTCGCATGGAACGAGAGGATAGAGAGAAAGAGAGAGAGAGACAACGGGAACAAAGGGAAAAAGAAATGGAAAGGGAGCGAGAACGAGAGAGGAAACAGATTGAGAAATCTAGGAGAGAAAAGGAGAGAGAACTTGAAAAGCAAAAAGAGGAGAAACAAAAAGAAAGGGAAAGAAGGAAAAGAAGCTCCAAGAGCGACAAACTCAAGAGAAGCTGGAGAGGAGAACGGCCGTTGTGGAGCGCGGGAGGGTCAAAGAGGAGAAAAGAGATGGAGAGAAGAGGGTCGACAGGACGAGGAGCAGACCTGTGAAAGTAAAGGCAGAACCTCCACCTAAAAAGAGGAAGAAGTGGCTTAAAGAAATGCCCTCTTCATCTGATTCAGTCTCCTCCCCTGACCCGCCCAGTGAGGAGGAAGGTGCGTATGGCTTGGTTATGTGTGTGCAATATACTGTGTGTGTGGTTTTGCAATATTATGCAAAGCTATCAGCAGCTTCATTCAGTGTAACTTCAGTTTGGGGTAGCAAGATTTTTAAATATTTTTGAAAGAAGTTTCTTATCCATTTATTTGATCACAAATACAGTAAAAACATTAATATAATGAATCGTTGCATGTATTGTAATATATTTTCAAATGTAATCTATTTGTGTGATGGCAAAGCTGAATTTTCAGCATTTTCCTTCAAAAAGATTGTTGATGCTCAAAAGACATTTCTTGATATTTTTGTGGAAACCATGCTAATTTTTTTTTCAAGATTTTTGATTAATAGAAGGTAAAAAAAAGTAACTGTCACAACACTGCCACATTTGAAAATGTATTACATCCTCGCTGAATAAAGAATTCTGTTCTTTCAAAAAAATTAAAATAAAATCTTACGGACCACAAACTTTTGAATGGTGGTACCATAGTTTGAAGTCCCGTGTTAAAACCATGATTTGTAAATATGGTAATCTTTCAGTACCACTATATATATATATATATATATATATATAACTTTAGGGCTGCACAATTAATCGAATGCGATTGTAATGTGCATTTTGATAGTAATGCCGGTTCTGTAATCAGCAGGAAATTATTTTAATTAAAATTATAATAATAAGAACTCCGATAAACCATATATTGTCATAATCGTGTGTTTATTAGTCACGTTGAATCAATAAAGGCAGTTAAATCTTGTTTATCCAGCTACTGCTATAGGCATTTCCTGGGTTTCTTCTGCGAGGCGTATTTGGAGTTTCAGCGCGAGAGCGCCCTCTGGCCTTTGGATGGAGATTTACTGCTGATCACAGAACCGTGCTTTACTGAAAGATATGCATGACAATCGCAGCTTCTGTCGAATCGCAATTTCGATTCGATTCCACTTTTTAGTACCATTCAGTATTTTCCAGTAGTTCCAACACAGTATTTCTATATAAGGTTTGTCATGGCACTCAAAAAACTCAAAACCTGCATACTAGCAACGGCAAACTACTGTTCAATTTTACATATAGTAAAAATTGTATTGCTACAACCTGTCTATAAACCAGCACACTGTATGAGATGATGGACACTGAATTTAGTTCATTTTGCATTTCTTGTTTTGTGGAGCCAAAACTAAGTTGTCGAAGTGTGTGTGAGAGTACTGTATTTTCTGGTGTGTGCCTTCTGTTTTTTTCATGTTTTGCATCTGTATCCTCAGTATCCACACGGAGTGGGATGAACAGTCGGGCCATGAGAGAGATGTTCCGCAGTTATGTAGAGATGCTGGTCAGCACTGCTCTGGACCCGGACATGATCCAAGCTCTTGAGGACACCAACGGTGAGCGCACATTGTTAGGTTAAACACAAAGTGCATGTGTGGCGGATAAGGGAGAGAAGGATGGAGAGAATAATGAAAGGAGTTTAATAAAGTCAAGTCAAGTCAAGTCACCTTTATTTATATAGCGCTTTTAACAATACAGATTGTGTCAAAGCAACTGAACAGCATTAAGCAAAGGAGTCTGGAAGAATAATGACAAGCAAAAGATGCTTATGCCCCATTCACACGGGGCGTCAGCGTCAACGCCTCTCGTTTACTTTGAATGGAGTGACGTCAAGCGTTGGCGAAATTAATTGTGGGTCCGTCGCGTTGGGTCCGTTGCTCGCGGCAGAAGTTGAAAACTTTTCAACTTTTCAAGTGCCAACACAGGCGTCAGCCAAACAGATCGCCTTATGGAAATACCCTAGCGCAGACGCTAGCCAATCGCATTCATGCAACACCAGAAGACTAATGTGATTGGCTGTTGTCACTATGACGGTTGCGTCAGCACCAAGCTCCAGAAACGCCCTCTATCAAGCGTTAAAGGTCCCATGGCATGAAAATTTCACTTTATGAGGTTTTTTTAACATTAATATGAGTTCCCCTAGCCTGCCTATGGTCCCCCAGTGGCTAGAAATGGCGATAGGTGTAAACCGAGCCCTGGGTATCCTGGAATCATTTACCGCAAAGATAACCAGCTGGATTATCGACGAGCAATATGCGGTTGTTGGTTGGTTTTGTTTTGTCAACTTTTTGGCTATGGGAAGCGTCGCTTTCTCGCGTTTACACCAATCACTGGGCTGTTCTGATCCCTGGAGGACCAGCAGAAGCTGATAAACTCGCCTCAAAATATGGCTTTACTAATTTGGGTCAGGTAAGCATATTTTTCTGTTTTTAATTTATTTTCCTGGTCACTATATATGCGCATTTAACGCATATATCAGTTACATGTCCATTAGAATACAGCATCACTGGCATGAGACTATTATAAAAAACGTCTCCGGTTACTACCTCGGTTCCCTGGGAGCGGGAACGAGACATCACGGAGACATTTCTCCTTATGGGAACTCCTTCCCTTCCAACCTTTCCTGAAGTCCTATTGGCTCACGCCAGTCCAAATGTCTGGCCAATTGTCGGGAAGTATGCAAATCGCATGCAAATACTGACGCGCTTGAGAGGCAGTATAAAATGCGGTGCAGGCGACAATTACGTCAGAATCTGATACTGAACGCTGCTTACACCCCATTCACACGGGGCGTCGGGCGTCAACGCCTCTCGTTTACTTTGAATGGAGTGATGTCAAGCGTTACCGAAATGAATTGTGGGTCCGTCGCGTCACGTTGGGTCCGTTGCTTGCAGCAGAATTTGAAAACTTTTCAACTTTTCAAGTGCTTACACAGGGGTCAGCCAATCAGATCGCCTTATGCAAATGCCCTGGTGCAGATGCTAGCCAATCGCGTTCATGCAACACCAGAAGACTAATGTGATTGGCTGTTGTCACTATGACGGTCGCGTCAGCACCAAGCTTCAGAAACGCCCTCCGTCAAGCGTTAACGCTGACGCCCCGTGTGAATGGGGCGTTAGAAAAGAGGAGTGGAATGTTACAGTGACTAATGAAGGCTGTTAATTTAAGTTTCATTAAATTAGGTTTTTAGGCCACTGATGTCATCTTTCCAGGCCTAAATGCAAAGATATCTGAAAAACTAACAAATTGTAGCAGTGATTAAACCTGTGCCTATAAATGAAGTTGCAAAAATCATCCAACACTATTTTGAACAGCAGTTTGCTAATTCTTTTGCTAGTTAAATCTTACTGTTCAAAAGTGAAAAATTTTTTGGAGAAATTAATACTTTTGTTCAGCAAAAATGCAGCTAATTGATCAAAAGTAAATGCTATATAGCAAGGGTGTAACTTTGGTTTGAGAAGTGGGGGGGACACAAAATGGGGGAAAATGTTTTCGATTTGAATCCCATTTCCTGCATGTACATACATTTAGGGACTATGGTGATACAAAATCCAGGAAATAATTAAGTTGATTAATGATCAATTCTGGCAAAAAGAATAGTAGGCTACTAAACTATGTATATAAGAAAAAGATGTCTGTCTGTCTTTATTGTTTAATAGGGGCCGATCACCAAGACTTGAGAGAATCATTTTATAAAGTCGAAAATGTTCACCATTAATGTTTTGAATAATGTTTAAAGGGGTCATATGATGCGATTTCAAGTTTTCCTTTCTCTTTGGAGTGTTACATTAAAGGACAATATTTGCCCCCTAAATTGACTTTCCAATGCATTTGTTATCTTTATAAATAGAATATTAATGTTAAAAAAAAAAATAAAAAATGTTCAATAGAGTAATATGCAATGATGATAAAATATAAAGTGAAAAGTGATTCTTTTAAATACTAAAACCGCCAGTAGGTGGCGGTACGTCACTGTCTTAATGCGCGAGTCATCTGTTCATTCAGTAACTAAGCAAGTGGCTGTATTGTGGCTGCTGCACAAATAGCATATAAAGTAACCCGTTGCAGATCTATACAGGTGGAGCTGGGGAAGGTGGAGGGTTTCAGAGAAACTCTGAAAGCGCACTGCAGGAATCTCAAGTGAATGCTAGCCAGCCATATAAATGCAAGGCAGTAAGCTCATTGGCTGCATATGCAGCATGAACCAATCAGCTTGTGCCAAGTCGTTTAACTCTCTGAATATCATCAGTTACGTTAACAACCCATCAGCCTGCGCCATCTAGAGTTTCATGACTGAACTATATATTTAAGTTATTTATCACATTGCAGGACCATTTAAAATGAACTAGTGAAAAACGTAAGATGCATATATTCTATAATCATTTAAACATGAATCTTAAGTAATGGTGTTTTTTTATTTAATTACTCCATACCAATGCATTACCACTGGCTCCTCCCCTTTTGTCCTCAGATGAGCTTTATCTCCCACCCATGAGAAAGATTGACAGTATCCTCAACGAACAGAAACGAAGGCTGTTAAGAAGGGTCAACATGAGTGTACAGCATCAGGTGACACAGGCTTTCAGTGATACACAAATGCATTCCTCTGGAGTACTCTAGATGTCTTGATTTGTGTTTTCTGAGGAACATGTCTGGCAGTTTCTCACTCGCCTTCCTTTCCCATTCTGTAGGAGGCACTGAACATGTTCCCTCAAATGACAGCAGACCCCCTAGACTCTGGAGCGGTTAAAGTGCACCTGGGTGGAGAGAGTTACAACCGCAAAACCCTCAACAGAGTCAAAATGAGCCTTCCCAAACAGCAGGCATGTTGTATACACAATTGTTTCTCACATAATTAAGCCATTTAGTAAGTAACCGCAAGAAGTATTTGGGCACTTTAGCCATACCTAAAAATATTAATGTTGTTGAATTAAAGGGGTATAACGATGCATCAATCAAATTATATATCAATGCAGTGCATAAAAATCTCTATATATTTTTATAAATGAATAAGATACACTAGATGACTTGTTTGACTGTGAAACTATGGTTGCATTTTTGAGTTAATAAAAATGTAACTGGTTGTGTAAAATAATATCGGTGTATCAATCATAGGCCCCTAAATCTAATCAAATTGTAATTGTATCGCAGCATGTTTTGAGATATCGGCAAATATTGTATTGCTGGGTAAGAGAATTGATTTCAGATTGTATCATGACGAAACTTTACTTCCTCTATTGCATTATATGACAAAATAAAAAACAACAGTCATTTATTTTAAAGAAAGAGAGTACAAGCTCAATTTTAAAAAATATTTCTCTTTTAAATCATGTTTTTTAAATGTTAGTTGATTAAATGTCATTGTTGTGATGAATTAAACCTGTGATTTCTGGACCATTTGATTAAGTATCATTGCAAAAATGGCTAAAAAGTACCATTTGTTTGCAGATGCCAATTGATTTGATGTTTTGTTATATAATGCAATGAAGATATTTTGAAAAAAATTTTTTATATTTTTGTCCCTATAATAAAAGTCAGTTGCGTCCAGAACAACATTGGACCCCTTTGACTTTCCTTTTCATTTTTCAGAATGTTCTTTTGTTTTCCAAACATGAAAGAAAGTCATACAGGTTATTTGGTGAACTGCCCCTTTAAGTGTCCAAAAGCTTTTTGTGGTCATTGAATTCCAATAATACATCTGTCTTGAAATCTCTGAGCTCTCTTTCTTCACTTGTAAGCCCATCTCTCTCTGCTTGCCAGGACCTGAAGCTGTCAACAGAGACTTGTCGAATATACAGTCTCTATCACTCTCTCCATCACTACAAATATCACACATTTCTGCACTGTAAAAAAGAGGTATGAGGAAATATGAGCTTATTTGAGAAATGCAACACTGTATCCGTGTATTAGCCCGTAAAAACCCTCGCCTCTCTTTCTCCCTCCTCAGACGGACAACATAGAGCAGGCAGCGGAGGAGGATCCAGGTCAGGAGGAGGTGGTTCAG